ATTATAATGAGACTTACAAACAGGAAGTTAACTACTTTTTCTTGAAAAGCTTAAGTCAGTGGGAAAAATACCTTGATTTTTTGTTGGGCAGAAGTTGGACTCTACCTACCTTTTCCAGTCTCTGTTCCTGGAGAATCAAACTACTTCTTTAATAGAAGGAAATAGTAAAATATTATCTGTAGCTAACAATTCCTCTCTTACGTCCTGACTACTTCTCTTACAGTTCTACATGATTTTTTCAATGTCTCACAGCACTTTGTACATTTTCACTTAATCATAATATTTTAATTAGTTATTTATATCTGTGATTTCAATTAAGTTGAACTCCTTCTATGTAGGCATGCCTAAGTGCCTAGCATGGTATATGCCACATGGTTGGCATTCAAAGAATGTCTGTGAGGTTGGGGCTGTACCAAGATGGTAAAATACTTCCCCAGCATGTGTAAAGCTCTGGGTTCAATCCCTAGTACCACTACCACCACCATCACACACACACACACACACACACAAAAAAAAAGGCTTTGAGTTAATGAGTAAATTCATAACATCAAACTAACACTTAAATAACTTCAACCAATTATGATGATTATTAATTTCCTACCAAATGTACTTCACTGTACCCAATTATCATAGTGAAAAACGCCTATATAAGATGACTAGATACTTGTACCCTAAGAATGTTTATATGCTTTAACTGTTTAGGAAGCTAATTATTAAGTGTTTTGTGGCTACTTAATGTATATGACCAAATCTAGACAACCTTGTTGTGCTATTGATTCTAGTAATTAATTTCATTTTTCCATCCCAAAGGAGAGAAATGCTGTAATCTCAGGGGCTTGGGAGGCTAAGGCAGGAGAATTTCAAGTTCAAAGCCAGTCTTGGCAACTTAGGCCCTAAGTAACTTAGTGAGATCCTGTCTCCAAATTAAAAAAAAAAAAAAAAAAAATGGGGGGGGGGGGGGGGGGTGGGAAGTGGGGGAAATGTTACTTGAAATCAGAAAACTTGGGTTGATTGGCTGTGGCCACTGGTAATGCAAAATTATCATTTTGCATCTGAGTTTCATGTTCTCATGTTTTGTTATAAATGTAACAAAGAATAACATGTAAAAAGTATTAAATAAGTAATTCAATAACTGTCCAGGTAAGTATATTTTAAAGTTTAATCAAACTTCAATCATTTCATGAGTAAATCAAGTTATAATTTTAGTGTTCCTGAAATAACAAAGTTGAATTAAGTTCAGTTCATCTCTATTATTTAAAATAATTCCTCCTGCTATGAAATGTGTCAATAACTTAAACAGTAGCTGATTTCTCAATTATGTAAAATCCTCCAGATACTACCAATTATCAGTTTGTATTCCACTAGAAAATGATTCATAGACTAACTCCTTGTTTTTGTCATTGGTATTTCCTCAGTCCTGGAGTTCTCTGCATCCTATTAATTCAGCTTGGTGATAAAGGAAAGAGGCTATCATATGGAAGGCTTTTTATGAGCCAGGTCTGTCCACATTCAGATGCTCAGGATGCAGTTACTTAATAACACCCATAAGAAAGGCTGAAGAATAATCTAGCCATCTACATAGGAGGAAATGGAAACAGATTTATGAATAATTGTTAAAGTCAATCATGGCCATGATCTTTTAATTACCACATAATATGCAAGGTGCCCGTATCCCATACATATACTACTCATAGAAGAAAACTGAAGGAGTCTTTCTCTACCTGTTCCACTCACCATTTAAGTATTTAAAAACTTCACCTAAAGATTTCCAGTTTCTCGTCTGGCATATAAGGAGTTTAGAAATTGTCTCTTCATCCTAATGTAAGAGATGGCAGGAATGTTGGAATTATCAGACCAGGAATTTAAGAAAACCTATTAATATGCTAAAGGCTTTAATGGAAAGATGAACAACATGTAAAATCAGCTGGATAATATAAGCAGAGAAATGGACATTGTATGAAAGAAGAAAAAAGAAATGCGAAAACACTATAGCAGAAATGAAGAAATTGAGTAAATAATAATTCTCCAAAACAGAAAACATTAGGTCCAGAAGGGATCAGTGGATAATAATACCAAACATTTAACGAATAAATTATACTGATTCTCTACAATCTCTTACAGAAGTTAGAAGATCTTACTGAATCAATCTCTTACTGAACTTCCTAACTCATCCTATGAAGCCAGCATAACTGTTAATACCAAAACCAGATAAAGACAGTATAAGAAAACTACAAACCAGTATCTCTCAGGAGAATAGATTCAAGAGTCCTCAACAAAATATTAACAAATTAAATTAAGTAATGTAAAAAAAAATTATACACGAAGGCCTGTTATGCTCTGGGTTGTACATGTCCCCTGAAGGCCATGTGTTGAAGGTTTGGTCACTAGTCTGTAGGAGGTGGTGGAATCTTTAAAAGGTGGAGCCTAGTGAAAAGAAGTTAGGTCACTGGAGATGTACCTTTGATGGGGATATTAGTCCCTTCCTTTTTCTCTTTTTTTTTTTTTTGCTTCCCAGTTCCTAATAGATAAACAGCTTTGATTGACCACATGCTCCCAGACATGATGTTCTACCTTGCCCCAACCCAGAACAACAGATCCAAGTGACCATGGACTGAAACGATTAGCCAAAATAAGTCTTTCCTCCTTTTGATTATCTTAGGTATCTTGTCAGTGACAACTAAGATAGGACTGAGATTTAACCCAGGTATGCAAATCTAGTTCAATGTACAAAAATCAACTAATGTATTCCATCACATCAACATGATAGAGAAGAAAAATTACAGATCATATTGATAGATGCGGAAAAAGCATGTTACAAAATCAAAATGACATTCATGAAAAGGTCTTAGTAAGCTAGCAATAGTTTGGAACGTCCTAGATTTGCTAAAGTTATGTCTAAAAATCCTACAACTGATAATGTATTTAATGGTGAGAAACTTCACAGTTTTCTCCTAAGATCAAAGCCTGCCTCTGTAGAAACTTTAGTTAATCAACTTCCCTCAAAGTCTTCTAGAGGAGACTTAAAAATATTTGTGGGGACAAAAGTTGTATAATAAAAAGACTTACAACTGTGGGAGACTTGGAAAACATTGCCCACTTGACTATTAAAAAAAATAACGAGCAGTGAAACATACTAGTAAAAAGGAATTATATTTATCTTGACTGTTCATAGAAAAAGATACAGGCTGAAAACTACTTTTTTTTTTTTTTTTGTGTGGTGCTGGGGCTTGAACCCTGAAATTACTAAATTTTGATACTTAAGAGCAAACAAACAGCACCCAGATGATTTTCCTAAGTCAGCAATTTGGCAATATTTTGTTAGCTCCAAGAAAAAAATGGCATACTAAAACAAAAAATATTTAACATTCTATTATTTAGTTTAAAAATGTCAAGACTTGTATCTCCTGCTATGTATCTTAATTATCTGGTTAATTTATCCTAATACAGTGTTTTTATTTATTAGACTACCGCAAAATAAAAGTAGGTCCTTTTCTGTTTCTCTAGAAAAATGACAAGACGCGGATCACGTAGTGTAGACTACTGAGAGCTCCACAATTAGAGGGAGGAGTCATTTTCTTTATATTAAAACCTCTTAGTCATGGCTTCAACCTGTTTGCTTTTCAAGTGAAGGAGATAACTAAGAAATTACTTTATTTGCCTAATTTACCAAGTTTGTATAATACTCAAATTGTTGGAGTTATTCATTGAGGTTTTTATGAGGAAGCAGCTGCTCTGAATTAGCAATTGGCTGCTATTCCTTTTCTTTTTGCATGAAACATTTTCCTTAATAAAAGTCGAAACACCTTGGCATTCTTATTTATGCCTCTTTGCCCCTGTAGTCACTAAAATTCTTTCAAGAAACCAATTTTTGAATTTCAGTAAAGTGCTTTAGGCAAGGGTAGGTATTAAATAACTTTACAAGAAATGTTTATTTTCAAAGTTCAGTGGTAGGTGTTTACTTCAGAGGTTGCTAAAAATAAGCTGATTTAAAAAAAAATTAGGTAGCATGTCCTATTATTCCTATAAGGTCAGTGTACACTCTGAGTTCCTTGACTTTGATAGCTTGCAAGCTGCTACAAAGAACGGTGTATTTCATACATTCATAATAGCCTAGCAAAAACCAATACTGATCTTCAAATTTCAGAATTCATTCCCAACAAGTACTTTCACGTTGTCTCTAGCATTCTGCCTTCCTTCATTTTGATATTCCGGCGGCTTTTTTGAAATTTCATATCAGATTGTAATCTTACGGTTCCCCCAAATCTTGCACCTGCCTCAGCAAAGTAGGGTATACTCTACCAATGCTTCGTGAAAGTAAAACAACAACAACAACAAACAAACAAACAAAAAAACACGCGAACCTGTTTAATCCTAATGCATCTTCCAAAAGTGTACATCCTAATCCTTTCATTTTTTTTCCTACATCCATCCTCTTTCCGTCAACTAAACTTTGGGCCTAAATTTAAATTTTTCCCGCTACCTCGCTCCTCCTACCTGCGGCCTGTTACCCCTGCTCTTTCATTCAACCCAAGTTCTCTGCCTGGTGCGTCGGTTTCCCCAGAGAAACAATTATATATATATTTTCCGGGTCTGAAGTACTAGGACCATCTCCCACGCAGTCACGGACCTATGGACCCTAGCGTTGGCCCACCTAAGATTGACCTCCACTTCGGGAACAGCCCTGGGTGCAGCGATCTCACACCCTCAACCACCATCTCTAGGGAGCGCCACTTCCGGATCTCGGGTGTCTCCACTTTACCGGTCCGCCCCCTGCCTTGGGCACTTCCTAGAGCTTTGTCCTGACAACTATTAGGGTTGGTGCCGAGGTGCAAGCTAGCCGTTTTTAAGAGTTCTCCAAGAAGACCCATTAGCTTCAAAGACCTGAGAAATCTAGAGGGGCTGCTGAGTGAGAGAAGAGGCGGCAGAGACGTACTGTTTTGAGCACGGAGTGAGGCACACCCGGAAGTGGCGCTGTACTGGAGCGGCGACGCCGCCGGGGGCGCATGCCAGGTACCGCGAGGTGGAGGAGACGCCACAGCAATCTGGCGTGTGTCTCCAGAGGGTGGGGTGCGGTGGCCGCGGTGGTGGGAGTGGGAGCGGACCTGGCTCTCCTTCTGGTTCAATGTTGGAAGATCCGGCTGGGTTCCGGGAGGCGAGGGCCTTGCGGGTGGCGGGGCTGGTGAAGGGCTGCAGCAGCCTAAGGGAACTTGCTTCTCCTCCTCTCACTCCAGGGGACCCGCTGTTTTCTCTCCCACTCCTCGCCGGGCCAAGTGAGGCGAATTGTAGTAGCTGGGAGTCCGCTTGAATATTCTCTGCTGTGGTAGTTGGCGAGCTGCTGCTTTTCGGCCTTTCCAATCCTTCCTGAGAAATGCTTCTGGAGAAACCTCGCTGCACCGCTGACTCAGTTCTAACGTTTCTGTGTTAACCCTTTTCAGAGTCTGACTTTGACCCTAACCTTAAAAGATGTTGGAGTCATATGTAACTCCAATTTTAATGAGCTATGTGAATCGCTATATCAAGAATTTAAAACCTTCGGATTTACAGCTTTCACTATGGGGTGGAGACGTGGTTCTCAGCAAGCTCGAGTTAAAGTTAGATGTGCTGGAACAGGTAAGCTGTGTAGCTGACATTGACTAGAAACATTTTCAACTTTTTTTTTTTTTTTTGGACATAATCTGTTTTCTGTGCTTTGCCTTTATGCTGTAAAAAAAATGTACTTTTCCTGCTAACGTATTTTGGGCTTCCCTGAAACTAGAGACTTTATTTTACGTATGTATTTTAATGGTTTCTTTTAGTAAGGGTTTATAACAATAGTATTCCCCAAAGTTGTTTCAATTGATAGGAAAATGTTTTCGTTGTTCTTGTCAGAATTGTTGAAACTGTTAATTCTCCTCGATGGGGAGGGGATAATGTACATTTCAAAATTATGTCTGAAGCTGCAAAATGTTACTTTCTTGTTTTCCTTTTTGGACAGTGGAAGAGTGTGAAAGACAGTAAGATTAGATCTTGAGAAAGGTTCTTTCAGTAGGAAATATGACATTACCCATGGTATCCTCACAGAACTCAGTAGACACAGATTGAGAATGGCAGTAAAATTGAAAGTCTCTTTACTAAGCCATTTCTTTTTAGTTTCTTTTAATGTGAGAATGATCTGAAGTAAACCATAACTTCATAGTTCACATTTATTAGTTCATTTAGTACACTTAATAGTAACATATTCCAAGCAGTTGTTACATTTGAGGATACAAAGTATCCGTGGAAGCTAAAGGGTCAGAGACCTGCTGCCTTTTAGGTGATGAGGGAATACTTAATCTGATGGTGGTGATTATCAGTTTTTCTCTTCCTCCACCTGCTCCATTATTGAATAATCTAGAATTAATACTAAGAAACTCTTGGCTTCTTTTTTCCCTCAGATTAATTGGGTGTCTTAATTTTTTTTTGTTTTATTTTTCTTAATAAGCACAAATCTCAGTTTTTAATGTATACACCTGTGTGACTACCAGCACTCTTAACAGTATTGCAAAAGCTTTTTTGTGTTCCTTTGTATTCAGTATTCATACTCCTAAAAGAGATGACTGATAATCTGATATCTGTCAAAAAATAGATGTTTCATTCATTCTTTATGTATATGTGTGTATATGTATATATACAGATATATATGTATTTTTTAGTTGTAGATGGACACAATACCTTTCGTTTTATTTGTTTTTATGTGGTGCTGAGGATCGAACCCAGTGCTTCACCATGTGCCAGGCAAGCACTCTACCATGGAGCTACAATCCCAGCCCTTGTTCATTATTAAGTGTCAAATATATTGGAATCATTTGTGTCTGGCTTTTATTTTTTTCATTGAACATTATAGGTGAGATTAATTTATATTGTTGGATGAACAGTATTCTTCATATTGCCCTATTGTATTCCTTTTTAAAAAAATTTTTTTTTGTAGTTGTAAATGGACAGAATGCCTTTATTTTATTTGTTTATTTTTGTGTGGTGCTGAGGATCAAAACCCAGTGCCTTACACAACCTAGGTATGCACTCTGCCACTGAGCTATAGCTCAACCCTGTACTCTTTTTTTTCTATATATTTTTAAATTGTAGATGGACAAAATACCTTTATTTTATTTATTTATTTTTATGTGGTGCTGAGGATTGAACCTAGTGCCTCACATGTGCTAGGCAAGCACTCTACCACCGAGCTACAGCCCCAGTTCTGACCTATAGTATTCTGTTGCATAAAGAGTCCATGGTTTACTTTCCTATTCAGAGAACATCCTTGTACATGTATTTTGATGGATGCAAGTATTAATTTCCTGTAGATGTATACTTAAGAAGTAAGCATGTGTTTAATATATACTGCCAAATAATTTTGCAAAGTGGTTTTTATCAATTTACAGTCTCACAGTGTATGAAAATTCCAGTTATTTTACATTTGTTATTTTAATTTTAGCCTTCCTGATGGGTATGTAGTGATATCTCATGTAATTTTTATTTGTATTTCCCTAATGACTAATGATGAGAATGGTTTCTTTTCACATACTTACTGGCCATTTGGATATCCTCTTTTGTAAATTCTCTTTAAGTTTTTTGCAGTACTGGGGATTGAATCTAGGGTTGCTCTGCCACTGAGCTATATCTGTAGCTTTTTTTTTGAGACAGGGTCTTGCTAAGTTGCTGAGGATGGCCTGGAACTTGTAGACCTCCTGCCTCAGCCTCCTGGGTAGATGGGATTATGGGTGTGTGCTACTGTGCTTAGCAAGATTTTTGCCTTTTTTTTTTAAAATGGGTTTTCTGTCTTTGCATCTCTCCAGGAGTTACTTTTGTGGGGTGGGTGAATGGTAGGGGTAGGGGATGAAACCATGGCCTTAACCATGGAGCTATACCCAAATCCCTAGGAATTTTTCTAATATTTGGAAGATGAGTTCTTTGCCAGATACATATTTTCATGCTTTTCAGTATCTTCTCTTGGTTTGTGGCTTATCATTTTACTCTCTTAAAGTTATCTTGATGAATAGAAGTTCATAATTTTATTGAGATCTACTATCTTTTTCTATATAGCTAGGATCTTTCATGTCTTATGAAATTTTTCTCTTTCTAATTTGTCTAACACTTTTTAAATTTGTTCTTCTTAGATATATTTGTATTTTGATATATGTTCATAGAGTATAACATTATAATTAGGATCCCATTCTTGTGGTTGTACATAATGTGGTGTTTCACTGGTAGTGTATTCATATATAAACATAGAAGAGTTATGTCTAATTCATTTTACTGTCTTTCCTATTCCCATCCTCCCTTCCTTTCCTTCATTCCCCTTTGTCTAATTCACTGAACTTCTATTCCCTCCCTCCCCCCAACTTAGTGTGTGTTAGCGTCTGCATATCAGAGAGAACATTTAGTCTTTGTTTTTTTTTTGGGATTGGCTTATTTCACTTAGCATGATAGTCTCCAGATCCATCCATTTACCGGAAGAAGTTATAAAGTCATTCTTTTTTATGGCTGGGTAATACTCCAATGTGTCCTGCTTTTTGTTAGATTCTTTGGGAATGACAATCATGTTATCTGAAAATAATGACAGTTTTATTTCATTATAAAATAAAATAACATTTTATTTATTTACCTTGTACCTTTTCTTTCTTTTTTTTTTTTTTTCATTATTGAATTGGCTAGGGCCTCTTACAATGTAGACATAGTGAGAATAGATTTTTTTTTTTTTTGTTCCCAACTTTGATGGGAACTAAATATTATGTCATTGTATTAGTTGTGAACACCCTTTATTGGGATAAAGAAATTCTCTTCTGTTTTTACTTTCCAATGAATTTTTAGAATGTTTAATGAATGTTGAATTATGTAAAATATTATATTTAATGATTTCATATTTGATTTTTATTTTGTTAATGTTATAAATTACATTGAGTTTTTAATTAAACTAATCTTGCATTCCTAGAATAAACCTTAGTTGTTATGGTCCCCTTTTTCCATATTGTTGGATTTTGTTTAGTTTCATTGCATCTGTGTTTGTGATAATGGCTTAACATTTTTCTTTTTTGTGATGTGGTTACCACATTTTGATTATCAGATAGTTTGGCTTCATTAGATTATTTATGAAGTATTTCTTATGCTCATAATCTCTAGAAAATAAGATTGATATCGTTAGTTTTTTCCCTTTATTTATTTTTACATTATATATAACAAAACTTACCATCTTAACCATTTTAAGTGTACAGTTCTGTGTCATTAATTACATTCAGATTTTGTGAAACCATAACTGCCATCCAAATCTAGCACTCTCTCATTTTCTTAAACTTGAAATTCTGTACCCATTAAGCAATTAACTTCTGTCTTCATATCTTCCCAGCCTGTTGGAACCACCATTCCATTTGTCTCTATGAATGTGACTACTCTGGATACTTTATATTAGTGGAATTGTTCAATATTTGTCCTTTTGTGAATGGTTTATTTTACTCACATTGTCTTCAGAACTCATCTGTACTATAGAAATATGTCAGCATTTCCTTCATTGTTAAGGCTAGATAATATTTTTGTGTGTATGTATTTATGTATGTATGCATATAACACATTTTGTTCATCTATTTATCCATCCATGAATACTTGGATTGTTTCTACTTTTTGGCTATTATGATAATGCTGCTATAAGTGTAAAAACACCTTGTGAAAATACCTTTTAAACATAAGTGTAAAAATACCTCGTTCAGATCCTACTTTCAAGTCATTTGGGTATGTACTAAGAAGTGGAATTACTAGATTGTATAGTAATTCTTTTTTTTTAATTTTAATTTTTTATTTATATACGACAGCGGAATGCATTACGATACTTATTACGTATATACAGTACAATTTTTCATATCTCTGGTTGTATACATAGTATATTCACATCAATTCGTGTCTTCTTATCTGTACTTTGGATAATAATGATCATCACATTCCACCATCATTAATAACCCCATGCCCACTCCCTTCCCCTCCAACCCCTCTGCCTATAGTTATTCTACATTTAATTTTTTTGAGGAACTGCAATATTGTTTTCCACAGTGACACAGTGATTGCACCATTATAAATCCCTCTGAGGAATGTATAGGATTCCAGTTGCTCCATATCCTTGTCAACACTTTTTTCCTTTTTGATTATAGCTATTCTAATGGGTGCAAAATGGTATATAGTTTTAATTTGTATTTCCTTTATGAACAGTGTTGCTGAGAGCACCTGCTCATATACTTAGTATTTATTTCTTCTTCTTCGTCTTTTTTTTTGTACTGAGGATTGAACCTATGGGCACTATATCCCCAGTCCTCTAATTTTTTTATTTTGAGACAGGGTCTCACTAAGTTGCTGAGGCTAGCCTCAGACTTAGATTCTCCTGCCTTAGCCTAGTGAACTACTAGGATCACAGGCATGTGCCACCGTGCCTGGCTCTTATTGGCTATTTTTGTGTCACCTTTGGAGAAATGTCTGTTTAAGTTCCTTGCCCAGTTTTGAGTCAGTTTTTAAAAAAATTGTTGTTATTTTTGTTGGGATGCAGGAGTTCTTTATTTATTGTGGCTGTCAATCTCTTATTAAATACATGATTTGCAAAGACTTTTTCCTATTTTTTTTTAATAGTAGGTGAACACAATACCTTTATTTTATTTTTATGTGGTGCTGAGGACAGAACCCAGTGCCTTATATGTGCTAGGCAAGCCCTCTACCAACTGAGTATAACCCAGCCCACTTTTGCCTATTCTTTGGGTTGCCTTTTACTGTTGATAGTATCCTTTGATGCATAAAAGTTTTAATTTTTGATGTTGTCCACTTAGGTTTTTTTTTTTTTTCTATTGTTGTCTGGGTTTTTCAATGTCATACCTAAGAAATCATTTGCCAAATTACTCATAAAGTTGTTTTTTTTTCCCCTCTTTTTTTTTTTTTTTTTTTTTGGTGGTATTGGGAATTGAACCCAGGGCCTTGTGCATGTGAGGTAATTAAAAAAAATTTTTTTTTAGTTGTTTGTGGACCTTTATTTAATTTATTTATTTGTGGTGCTGGGAATTGAACCCAGTGCTTCACACATGCTAGGCAAGCACTGTATCACTGAGCCACATCCCCAGCCCCTGCTTCTTAGTTTTTTAAGTGTAGGAAAAATTATCTGTGTCATGTTGGGAAGTTGTAAATTATTGATTTAATTTAATCAGATATAGGACTGTTTTTCAGAGAATTTCTCCATTTCCTTATTTATTTATTTTTTATGTGGTGCTGAGGCTCGAACCCAGTGCTTTGCACATGCTGTGCGAGTGCTTTACCGCTAAGCCCCAGCCCCAGCCCAAATATTGCTCTCTCTTTACAGAAAAAATTTGCTTACTCCTGCCCTAAATCATCCTATTTAAATATATAAAGTTTTTTTGTTATTTATTTTAAAATTGTTTAAAAACAACATACTGTGGAATTCATAATGATGTCTTTTTATATTCCTCATTTGATAATTTGTATTTTCTTCATCAATATTGCTAGGAACTCATCAGTAAATATTATTAATTTTAAAATTATTAATTATCAAAATATTAATATTTTCAAAGGATTAAATTTTGGTTTTGATTAACTTTTTGTTTTGTCATTTTTTTCTCATTTCTTTCCACTTTGTGATTTACTATTTTCTAGCTTCTTGAGAATCTAAGAAAACTTAACGTCATTGTTTTTTTAAACCTTTTTTTACTCAAATATATACATCTAATGTTATGAATTTCTCTTTAACCAAATATTTATCTCTGTCACACAGAAATTTGTATCTTTCCAGTTAACAACTATACATTTTTATGATTTTTATGTTGATTTCTTTGATCAGTGGGTTATTCAGAAATATATTGCTTAATTTCCAAACATTTGGAAATTTGCTAATCAACTTTCTGTCATTGATTTCTAATTTAATTCACCTGTGATCAGCACAGTCTATGATGAAGAATGTCATTGGTGTTTTGATCCCCATCAAAATTGAATTTGTATATTTCTTTTGGCAATATGACCATTTTAACAATAACAGTTCTGCCTACCATGATCATAGGAGGTTTTTCCATTTTCCTGTGTCTTCTTTGATTTCTTTTTTCAGTGCCTTATAATTTTCATTGTAGAGATGTTTCATTTCTTTGGTTAGATTTATTCCTAGAGAATATTTTTTAGATGATATTGTGAATGGGATTGTTTTTCTGATTTCTTTTTCAGTAGATTCGTTATTAATGTATAGGAAAGGTATTGATTATTGTTTGTTGTTTTTGTAACCTGCTACTTTATTGAATTATTTTTATTCTAGCAGTCTTCTGGTGGAGCTTTTTGTATCTTCTGAGTATAGGATCATGTTATCTGCAAACAGTGATAATTTGACTTCTTCCTTTCCTTTTTTTTTTTTGGTACCAGGGATAATAAGTGTTGAATTTTAGTTAGATCTCTACCATGGACCATATGGTTTAAAATTCCATGTCTAATATGTGTATTAATATTTGTTAGTAGCTAAACTGATGAGTAACATTATTATGGCACTAAGTTCTTGAGTTTAATTTGGGTATCTTTTATCTTCCCCCTGAGAAAATCGAATTTGTGCCTATAGACTGCAATTCTAGTAGCCATTTTGCAAATGTATCAGAGTTGCATAAGTCAAAGGGTGGTGGAGATGGAAATAAAATCCACTCATTTTCAATGAAACACATTGCCAGTGTAAATGTAATCAGTAATCATAATGGTAATATAAAGGCAATATTATTAGTGGTTAAGAGAAAGAATTTTAGCGTCATATGTCTCAGTTTTCAGTTCTGGCTTTTCTTGTTGTTTCATTTTGGGAAGTTACTGGACCCTTCATGCCTCAGATTCTTCTTCATAAAATAGGCTGATAATATTTACGTTTTGTTGTTCTTATGTTATATGGTTATATGGTTATATGCAGGTAAGGTGCTTAGAATGGTGCCTCTTCCATCGTAAGTGCTTAGTAAATACTTTCTTTGTTGCAGACACTGATTAGTATATAATTTGTGCTAGCTGAATAATGCTTGAAATAATTACTGCATGTTTAAACTTAATATAATAATGAGAAGTAGTTAAAAGTTGTGACATTCCATCAGAAAGAACAGTGACAACATTTCATTAGAAATAGTAGTGACAATAAATTTTTAGTAATGTGGCCTTAGAGTCTCTAGTTTTAAGACATAAATTAGACCCACACTTTTATAATAATATTAGTAGTAATAATAATAATAATGATATTTAGCATCTTTATAATGATTTCTGTATGAGGAAGACCAGTGTTCTAAGCACTTTATAAAATGAATTGATTCAATCCTCAAAAGATTATAATTATTCAAATTTTACAGATAATAAAAGGAGCCACAGATACATGAAACAATTTACTTAGTGTAATTGGGTACTAAGTGGCAGAGATTGGATTTAAGTCCATGTCTGCTGGCTGTAGAGTTATTGGTTGTAAGCACTTTACCATTCTGCCTGTATTTAGCTCTATTTGGTATTTTGCTAAACCAAGTAGATGCAGAGGGGATAAGATTAATAATTTTTATTAACTGTTGCACGTAGCTGCAATAGCTATAAAAATGTGATAGAAATATAGTCTTTTTTCCTTTGTTGACTTGTAACAAAAGTTTTGTCCAGAGTGGAACAAAGTAGTATAAAGTGATTATGATGAAGATTTATGCTACCATATCTGAGTTTTGTCAAGTAATAATAGAAAGCAATCAGAAAAATGTGAAATTTATGACCAAATAGTACTGAGGTAAACTCTTCAATTAGACAAAGTACATAGGTTGTTTTTGTAGTTGGTCAGTTTTTATTTAGTCAGGTCATTCTCCTTTCTCCACTTCAGTCCCCCTTTCAACTTGCCCCGCAGATATCTTTTGAGGACATATTTTAGAAATTTAAGACAACTGCAGTTTTCTCAAGTACTGCTGCTGTCTAGGGCTTTGATCCATTTTTATGACTGCTACCACTACCACATGTGAACCTTTATCATAGACCAGATATTGTATGTCATTTTCACTCATCAGAGTAGCAAACTGAAGCCTAGAGAGTTTAAGTAACTTATTAAATGTAAGTTGCATAATAAATTTTTGTGGTTTATCATAAAGTATAGTTTAATAAGTTATTTAATTCTGCTTTGTGATAAACAGTGATGAATGAAATATTTTGAACTGGAAATTTTATTTTTCTTTTAAGAAAGGAATTTGGATACAAGGATAAAAAATATTAAGTGCTTACTAACTTTAATGTTTTGTGTTTTAAGGAACTGAAATTACCCTTCACTTTTTTAAGCGGACATATTCATGAATTGAGAATTCATGTACCATGGACAAAATTGGGTTCAGAACCAGTGGTAATTACCATCAATACAATGGAATGCATATTGAAACTTAAAGATGGAATACAGGTAAGAAATTATCAAACCTAGTTGTTGAATGTGAACTAATTTTAATACTTATTATATCTGACATTTCTATAACTTTTAGAACTCACTGTCACATGAATAAATATAACTGTATACATTTTGTTTACATGCCTTATTTAAATAAGGGTGTTCTGAAATTTGGACAAAACATTAAAAGGATATTTTCATACAAATTTTGCTTTATTGATCATAACCTTAATAGGAGTCAATATATATTGCTTATTACCTATATTTACAATGGAAGCAAGGCCTGATTAAATCAGTCTAATTTTTAGATTAAGATTTTTGAGTTTTTGCGAAGGACCAGTGTGAATCTTTATTTACAAATCTTCTAAATCTATTTCTCAGGCTAATTTTTAAAAAAAATATTTATTTTTTAGTTTTTTAGGTGGACACAATATCTTTATTTTATTTTTATGTGGTGCTGAGGATTGAACCCAGAGCCTCACCCATGCTAGGCAAGCACTCTACCAATAGAGCTACAATCCTAGCCCTCATCATTTCTTATTGATGGTTTTTGCAAAGGTATAATTGGGTTTTTTTTTGTTGTTGTTGTTGCTGTCTGCTATTTAAAAAAAAATTTTTAAATTCTGATTTGTTATATCTGACAGCAGGATGCAGTTCAATTCATATTACACAAATAGAGCACAATTTTTCATGTCTTTGGTTGTACACACTATTGTCACACCAGTTTTATGTACTTAGGGTAATGATGTCCGTCTATCTCATTCCATCATCTTTCCTACCCCAGTAACCCCTCTCTTCTACTTCCTCCTCTTTTAGGGAAGTTTGTTTATTCCTCCCATGCTGACCTCCCCAATCCCCCTCCCCCCAATCCCCATTATGAATCAGCATCCTTATGTCAGAGAAAACATTCCGCATTTGGTTTTTTGGGATTGGCTTACTTCACTTAGCATAATATTCTCTAACTCCATCCATTTACCTGCAAATGCCATGATTTTATTCGCTTTTAATGCTGAGTAATATTCAATTGTGTATATATACTACATTTTCTTTATCCACTCATCTGCTGAAGGGTATTTAGGTTGGTTCCATAATTTAGCTATTGTGAATTGTGCTGCAATAAGCATTGATGTGGCTGTGTCCTTGTAGTATGGTGTTTTTAAGTCCTTTGGGTATAAACCAAGGAGTAGGATGGCTGGTCAAATGGTGGTTCCATTCCCAGTTTTCCAAGGAATCTTAATACTGCTCTCCATATTGGTTGTACCAATTTGCAGTTCCACCAGCAATGTATGAGAGGAGTATCTGCCAAAATTTTTCCTATTCAGGAAGCCCAGCAGGTCAGGACAGCAGCATTCTGTGAAGTATGTTTCACTTTCATCTTGTAGTAGTGTGTCTGTTGTTGTTATTATTATTATTATTATTATTTTACTTTTTTCTTGCATATTTAACATTTACTTTTTAGTTTTAAGTGAATTGATAAGTTGTTTATTTATTTATTTTGGTGCTGGGAATCAAATTCAGGGTCTTGTGAGGGCTAGGCAAGCACTTTGCCACTAAGGTATATTCCCAGTCCCTATAAATATTATTAAAATGACTGTTTTTCATGAGAACCGTAAGGTAGTTTTAGCAAATCCTAAGTATAACTTTAATTTCTGTGAAATTTGACTTATTTATGAGTTATTAAAATTATTTCTTATTTTAAGAAGATTCTTTTTTTTTAAACATTTTTTTAGTTGTAGATGGACACAATACCTTTATTTATTCATCTTTTTGTGGTGCTGAGGATTGAACCCAGTGCCTCACTTGTGCTAGGCAGGTGCTCTATGACCGAGCCACAACCCCAGCCCCTTAAGTAGATTCTTTAAAGTAATTGTTATATCAATTCATTAGGCACAGATCTTTTTTTCCATTAATGAAATATTTGATTTTAAACCTACATTATCCAATTTAACTTAAATAAGGTGGTTCTTGAGAATAAATAGACGAATGTTATATTCTCATGAAAACTTTCTTTGTGAACTTTAAGTATTTGAGAGATTGATTTGAGAAACCTGTAGATTGTTATATTGTAGTAAGTTTTATTTTACATTTATGTTTGGTAATACTGCAATAGTTCTTAATCATCTGTTATTAGATTTTTTTTTTTTAAGTCTGGACTTGGTTATACCACCCATGTTGTGCTCTGTATTAAAAGGTGGAAAGGAAAAAACCCAGTCACTAAGTATTTTTTTCAATGGAAAGGTGGAAGTTTCAAGACCAGATGTCCCATAAGAAACACATTTAAAATAGACAAATTACAACTAATTATAGAGGCTACATAAAAAGATTTGTAACACATGACTTAGTGCAACTTAGAACTAATATTTGATATTGGACCATGCAGATGGCTACTGAAGGAATGATCAGATTTCCTGTTTGCATGGTATTTGAAACTTGAATTTTGTGGTGTGTGGAATAAAAGGTCAAATGTCATGAATGTAAACCACTTTCAAAAAAAGTGTTTTTTTACAGATGTTTAAAATTTTGCTGTAGAAAGGATTTTTGAAAATTGCATTTGACATTTGGACAAATTATTTAAAAGTGTATACCCCTGGAGAGTAATACTTGGGTTTATCCTAGTAATTGGAATTAAATTTTGAGTAGAAACATTATAAAACTTAAAGTATTTTAATTTTAGGTTTTAAGCTTTGATAGGTATAGTATGTAATTAAGTTAAAATTATGCATGTACTAGTAGAATGGAATGGCTCCATATTTAAATTATTTGAAGTTTAATTATGTTGTACCATCATACCAAAGAAAAGACTAGGGGCTGGGGCTCAGCGGTAGCGCACTTGCCTGGCATGTGTGAGGCAATGGATTCAATTGTCAGCACCATATATGAATAAATTAAAAAAAAAAAGGTTTATAAACAACTAAAAAAAAAAAAAGAATTAAAGAAAAGTCTTTATTTCCCAAATAAAAGTGGGGTGAGATGGTAGGTTAAAAGAAGGGGGCTTTTAAAATCACAGGTATTCAAATATCTGAATATGGAAAAATGTTAACTTTAATGTATGGGAATGTATTAAAATGATTAAAAGATGGGAATATGAGGTTTAATTCAGATTTTAAAAGAATACAGCATCATTAAATGCTTTAAAAAATAATATACATATATTTTTAGTTGTAGACTGATACAATACCTTTTTGTAAATTTATTTATGTGGTGCTAAGGATCAAACCCAGTGACTCACATGTGCAAGTACTCTTCCACTGAGCTACCTCCCCAGCCCATCATTAAATGCTTTGATAAAAGGACATAACAATTTTTTATGTTCAATCTGATTCTGCCAACATTTGTTGATTGCCTAACCTGCAGTGAATTGCAAAGCATGGCTAAGATATTTGTAGAATCTCAGCAAAGGACACTTAGACAAAGAGATTTATAATGTTTCAGTGTGACTGTAGTGGTCATGGTTATAATGTACTCAACATTTCTTTGAAATCCATTTTAATTACAGAGATTTTTGAAAGAGAGTGACCCAAATTCTTTTGGGTAAAATAAAGGCCACTTTGATGTTCACTTAGAATGATTTTTAATAATTTTAAACTAAATAAAATACTTGTTAAAGATTTGATGTTTACTTTGAGAGAGTCCTTCTATGTCATTGTCCCTACCTTTAGGTCCTGTGGATTTGTAACTTGTGATCTGTTTTTTTTTCTATTTTGGATTTCAGATACAGTTTGATTCATGACAAACTGTATCATTACATATCCATCCTTATATAATCAAATACTTGCGAATCTATCATAACTTGAGCTAAAACATTACCAAGAACTTACATTTAATTATGTTTTCCTCTCCTTATTTGTATTCTTGCTTGTTCATCCTTGGTGAACCTCATCTGCAAAATAGCACAAGACTTTCTACACAGTTTTTTCAATTTTGTGATGAGCGTGCATTCTTTGCTTAGTGTATTAAGTCTTGGAAAAAATACTTCTGCAATCTAAAGAGAGTGGTGAATTTGTTTTTAAAGTACTTATTTATTCTGGTTTTTATAACATCTGGAAAGTAAATTTTGAAAAACTTTTAACCTAATGAATGCAACCACTCATTAAGTTGTTTATATAAGTAATACTTACGAATAAACTTTAAAAATGTTTTTAACCTAAACCAAAACTTTAAAGTACTGAGTTAAAAAACTGAGCTTTCTGTTAATGTTCTAATCTTGGTTAGTATTTGAAACAAGAGGGCAAATTTTACCTATCCTTATGTCTTTAGGTGCTGTGGAAATCCTTTATTGGGATTCAGAGGAATTGCCTTAAATGTATAGATAATTTTGAGGGGAACTGACATCTTTACTAAGTTGAGTTTTCCATTCTGTGAACACAGTGTGCCTCTCCAATTAGTTAGATTGTTCTTGATTTCTTTAATTAGGAATTTGTGTTTTCAGCCTACAATTCTTTTAAATGTTTTATTAGATTTATATCTTTTTTCTTTGGAGCATTTATGAATATCGTGAATTTAATTTTATTTTCTGTTCATTTTCATATATAAATTCAGCATTTATATATAAATAAAGTTGCAGTTTTATATGTATAATTTTTGTGCATTGATCTTATATCCTGTGATGTTGCTTACATTATTAATTCCAGTAGTGTTTTGGTTGATTTCTTTGGGATTTCCTACATGGGCAATAACATTATCTACAAGTAGAGACAGTTTAGTTTGTTTTCAATTCATATGCCCTCCCATCCCACTTTTTGTTTTTTTTGGTCCTGGGGCTTGAACTTGGGCGCTTAATCACGGAGCTAGATCCCAGCCCTTTTAAATTTACATTTTGAGATGGAGTCTTCCTAAGTTGCCTAGGGCCTCACTAAATTGCTGAACTGAACTTGTGATTCTCCTGCCTCTGCCTCCTGAACCTCTGGTTTTACAGGTGTGATCCTACCCTTGTTGAATTGATGAGTGTTTTTACAGAAGCCATTATAAGTAAGCACTTCAGTACTGGTCATTAGTAACATCACGTTTGCACAATC